TAAACGCGTATTACAGCCAAGCATATTAACAAATTGTAGCCATGAACTCTGTAAATCAAAACGCTGAACTATCGAATATTGACTTAAAATTTTTTTTAAAATGTTTCATATAAAATTATTTACAAGTTAAAATTGACTAAATTGACTAAATTTAACCTTAAAAGTTCAACAACATTTCAAAAATTTGATGCCAACAACAACACAGCAGACAATCATATATGGCTAGAATCACACACCTACTGAGTTACGTAACACGAAGCAGTAAATACTGGCGCATGACACTTTTTTTGCTTTGCGAAGTTGTCGTGAGACCACAGCAGATCAGTCTTGTCAACAACTGAACCTGAACTGAACTGAACCGTGCCCTTATCAAAACAGCACTTGCCCAATTAGTCGCATATGTGAAGTCCTTATTTAGTATAATTACTGCAACTATGTCTCAGACTTTGTGTCGCATGAAGCGCAACTGAAATTGCTCTTGCCACGTCAGACGTCACCGTTGTTTATGTACTTCAGTTGGTACATTTATAGTGAAGCATATTTATATGCAGAAGATGTTTGACCTTACAACGCCAACTCTCGACTGCCTATTTTCCCAAGTTGTAACTTGATTTTTCACTGTTAATTAGCGAAATGCATAAACGTTAACACGCACTCTACTTTTATCGCATGATGTCTGTGCAACAGAAGTGCATTAACTTCTATACTTCAAGTCGAAAAGATCTTAGCAGGCACTGCAATAGTTTTTGTTCTCATTTTTAATCTGCATATTTCAACAATAGTTACTTACCGCTCAACTATAGTGACAAACGCAATTTTGCATGATGAGTTAAAACGTGCATCTTCCAGTATGTAAAATTACTTTGAAAGAAAAAAATTACCAAACTGCCTTCTGTGCTATTTACACGCAAACTACCAACAATCAGACAAATTCTTTCCACACCACAATAACACGACTTAGACACGGAAATGTTCTTGCACGTATCACACAATGATATCGCTAATAATAATTTCTGCAGTAAAACACACAATTGCTTTCCTAATTCAATTATCCACACTCGGTAATGTACAACTGTGACCAGTATCCAGGAAAAATCTCTATTCTCTTGAATCTTGCAATAATGAGTTTGAAATATCACCTATAATAATATTTCGCAGAAAACAAAACTAAAAATGTATAAAACATTGATTTGACCAGTAGTAACATATGGCTGAGAGACATGGAGATTAAGTGAAACTGAAGCAAGCAAGATATCAGTGTTTGGAAGGGAAATACCCAGAAAAATTTTGGCCCCATGAAAGAAAAGGGGATGTAACACATAAGGCACAACCACGAGCTAGAAAAATGAGTGATAAGATGTGATAAAAATGTGTGATATGAGAGTACCGCTTAAGATTAATTAGAACGAAGTAGGAAGCAGCAGAAGAAGAGGGTGACCAAGAAAACGATGGAAAGACAGTGGTGTACAGTAGAACTTAGAAGAAAGGAACATAAGAAATTGGAAAAAAAAGCAGAGAAGAATGGAAGATTGTTGTTAAACAGGCTTCAGTCCTACATGGGTTGTATAGTCACCCATGATGATGATAATTTTGTAGGTACACAACTGAAGAATGACAGAAATATATAAAGCTGAATGAAGAAAGTTTGTTCAGGTACGTCAAGGTACTTAATGAGCTGCCAAACCGTGAAAAAAAGAAGAAAAACTATGTACGAAGTGGTGTTTAAATAGATAACAAAGCCTTCTTGATGTTACATTATAATTTTCGAATCATATTTATTATCATTAATTGTGTCTTTCCGCTTTAAGGCACACTCTCTTTGAAAACTTCAACACCGCAACTATACTTATTATCCAAAGAAGCCTATTATCTCATCCCTGTATGTATATAGATCTAGATAGTTCAGTCCAGTTGCGAAATGTTAGAGTCATCATCTATTTTCTGTAGCATTTTGACCTCAATATATTTTATGCTTATCACCCATAATTAATTGTGATAAACATAAAACTTAATTCCTTTAACATTTATAATGTCGACACTATCTGTATTCTTCTCTCGTCTAACCTATCTCTCATTAATGGTGATTTTTATAGCAATCACTTTGCTTGAGGCGCACTCTGAACCCACCTATACGAGGATATAGTATTATATTGTAAATATCTACTTTTACAAGAGTTCCCTATTTCATATTCGAATCCTGGCGATTATTTGCCCTTGAGATAGCCTTATGATATTATGGTTATAAACAATTCCTCTTAAATAATCTCTTCACTACGTCAATTATAAGAAACTACCATATATAATTTCGGACTCAAATTAAGACTTTACGCAGCAAAACGAAAACTGATGTGTTATATTATAGTAACAAATTGGAAAAATAATTTCTTATTTTTATTATTATTAGGATTATTGTTGTTGTTAATATTATTATTATTATTATTGTTATACTGTGATTACATACATTTTGCAACCATTTTTATGTCAACCTATATGTGCCATTATAAGTATTTTTAGCAAGACACAGTTTAAGTACGTGTACTTTAATTAGGATATTTTTATTTATTTTTGTGTTCTTAGTTGTTATTACTGTTTAGTTGCCGGAAGACATCAATTTCGCAGCCGCAGCCGTCGTCATCATCATTGTCAACGTAACCAGTATGCAACACTGAACGAGTGCACACACTCATTACACTTTGAATAATAGCGCCTGTAGCCTATTAGACATGTCCAATCAACCGGCGACGCGTTGTTCACAAAATTCATATCGAAGTATACGTCCATTCAGTGTTCTCTTATTTGGTAGTCATATGAGTTGATAGACGATGTCTGATCGCAACATTTACAATAACAATTTACAATTAGAAATACCAATTCAATCCAGTCTAGTTTCGGTCAAAACTTTACACTCAACTGGCTTGATTGTTATATTGTGTCGTGCTCGTGTTGTTTTTGATGGTATTTTTCTATTTTCCTATTTTCCTGTAGCACTGAACGTACACTTCGGTGACAAACTATGCATGCGTCGTACAAAGTCCTAAGTTTAGACTTGATTGCCATTACAATTGTCGTCGCTTTCAACACTTGAGTTTATTCTTGTGGTCATGCGGTCGTGCGATCTTTAAGTCAGTAGTTTGGTCTAGGTCTAGCATGACTGCACCAACAACAGCTGGTATCTGCAGCTATGTATGTGTGTATCTGTGTTTCTTTGGCGACATGCTTTAACTGCAGCTGTTGGTATGTTGTTGTTATTTGCCGGAAGCACAATACGCTTTACTATTATGGCACGTACTTTGTCAAAGGCGTCGTCATTAAATGATTTGATGCGTCACTTTAGGTGTTTTTGTTGTAGTCATTGTTGTTGCAGTTACAGTTGTCATTCTCCAGATTTTTTAGAATTTAATGCAGTTATGTTGGCCAAGGTGTGAGTTGAATTAAAATCTAAGGTGCATTTTCCTTGAAATAACTGAAGTTAGCAGAAAGAATTCTGAATTCATTGTTTAAAATACGTACATACATCGACAAGAAGTTAATCAATTTTTTAATTTTAAAAACGTTTATATGAAGATTTTCTATAGAATTGCCTTATAAAACTATTTTTCGGATTTAAGTGGGGTTAGCAGACACTTTGCCTATTCTTCTTTTCGTCCTTATTTTCATGCTATTAGTCGTTTGTCGGTTATTTGGCTATTGTTTATTTTTTTATTGAATATTTGTGAAGTAAATTGAGTACTAACTCCATATGTGAATGAAGAGAATAAGTTAATATTAATCTAGTAATAACAAAAATATTGTCTTTATATTTATTCTGGCAGAGCTTCTTTGTCTGTTCTAATAGACCATTGGTATTGTTTTATTATCACATTTTTTGAAATAGTATTCTAAATGTTAAAACTGATTTGCGTGCTTAATAGAGATTATTTTTCGGAGATCTATATTTAGAATATCCCGTCAAAGTAAAGTAATAACTTTTATAGTGAAATAGACCTTGCTAAGTTGGGGGCATTTATGATTAAAGAAAATACTTAATTTGGCCCTAATATGCTGGCGAACCTACTAAATGGTGCCAGTTATATTTTAATACTATGGTTAAACAGAGTAAGAATAGCAGCTCAACGGTCTGTGAAAATTGCAATCTGTTGATATCGTAGGCTTTTTCTATATCATTTTGTAAATATTTTTTCTCCTTAACAAATATTTACAACTACTATCATTTTTTTCAACCGTCTTTTAAAAATAATCCAAGAATAATTTGAAGTCTATTTAAAACAGCTGTTTGGTTTGTTTCAGTCGAAAATTTACTAGAACACGCATTCAACCATCTTATCCTCCTAGCTTTTAGCTTTTAATTGTTGTTTCCGAATTTATTTCTAATGTTGCTTTAATACTGTAACCAACAATCGTCCCAAACTGTTTACATACTTGGCACTCACCTAACTTGTTGATTGCTTCATCTTAACGCCCATGCAAACTCCGTATGTTTGCTTGCAATATTCAGTGTCCACCAACTGCAGCCGCCATATCCGATGCAAAAATATTTTTACTATTGCGTGTTGCCGATGTTGCTGCAACTTGAGTAAAATAAAATGAAAAACAATCAAAAAGAGTCACTTGACACCGGTTCCACTCGGTGCGTGTGTTATTCATCCTAAGTCAACATATTGCGTCCAGCACTGGTTCGAAAGCGACCAGATTCGCGAGTGCGTGAGTTGTTTGCAGTTTTCTATTTTCCACACATTTTAATTAATTATTTTTTTCTCCAAAAAAAATATTCAAGTGAGAAATTTATGAATGAATACGATTTGTTATACAAGTTGATATATACAAATAAAAAAATATATAAACAAACAAAGCTATTTGTGTAACCTGGTCATAAACTAGTCTGCATAAAGAACTATGGCCACGCATTTCCAGCTTAACTGTATTTTATTTAAATTGATTTAATTATGTTATTTTATTTATTAAAAATTTTTTCTTAATTTTTCTTTTTTTTCCACTTGCAGAGGTAAATTTGCAGCAGTGCGTCGCGCGGTACACAGAAATTCCGGTGTACATTTTGCGGCAAAGTTTCTGAAACGTCGCCGGCGCGCACAATCCTCAGACAAGGAAATCAAGCATGAAATCGCTGTGTTGATGTTGTGCGATGGCGCTGATAACATTGTCAAATTAAATGCTGTACACGAGACCCGTTCAGACACAGCGCTATTATTGGAATTGTAAGTAAAAATTTTTGAAATTTAATTACCATTAAATATTTATAACAGCAACATATTGTATTTATAATCTACATCTTCAGAAGAGCCACTGTTTTTGTTTTTTAACTAGCTCTTCATCAATATCAATACTTCCCTACCCTTTATTTATTATTCTCTTAATATCTATGATTGTCAACAATTTGACTTGGTTCCCATCATACCTATGTAAAAAAGTTGATCTTTACCTTTGGTGAAGTTAATTTGACATTGGAACAAGATTGTAATTTACGATCTACTATTGTTCTTCCTTAATAATAATAAGAGCATATATACATTTGTCATCTAAATTGTTGAAACCATTCATGAAATGGATGCAGTATTTACTGACTTCGATAGCGAAATCAGGCTTACACTGAGTATTTGCCACTTTGTCATTCAAATCGATTTAACCTCTCAAAAAGTTTTGGGAACGCCTACATCTGTATTTATACAGATAGTTTTAGGGTTTAAGATATGGTCTTCTTGAAGAGTTTCAAGTGTTTACTATGTATATATAATATGAATATTGAAAAAGTAAAATAATTTTTTAATTAGATATGCAGTTATGCACGAATTATATTAATAAAGTAATACACGAGCTTATAAAAACCAAATCATCTTTGCAGCTCTGCGAACTTGAACCTTATTTTTCTTCGATTGCCTAATAGATAAGAAGTTTTAATATCGCTATTGGCAGGAGAATTATACTTCACTGATATACTTCACTGACCATTATTCTATTATTGATATATTATTATTTTTTACTTTCTCTTGTTCATGTCGAAGCTAAAACCTGCCTAAACGTTGTAATATACATATGTGCATAGAAACCAAAAGCTCTTGATTGTTTTATTATCATATCATAGATGATATGAGCATATCAAAGATGATAAGTTATTTAGATGAAAAAGAATTCAAGTAAAATAGATGACTAGAAGAAATTTAGATTTGTATTATCAATAAAATTTTGTTGTTAAGTATTAGAAATCAAATGTAGAAGATGTAATGATTGTTAGCTTTTGAATACTAGAATAGAAAAACATCTTAATAAATTTAGCTCTAGTCTCCGCAACGACATATATTAGGCCTATTTATGTAACATATGTGTATATATATTAGAATATATACTTAAAATATATAATACTAAAATCTAATATATAAAGTTTAACAAATTTCAATATTATGATATATTCATGAAAAAACTAAAAGACATCCTTTTCATTTTTAGAGCGACTGGTGGTGAATTACAAACCTTTTTGGACAACGAGGAGTGCCTCAGTGAGGCTCAAGCACGCATTTGTATGCGCGAAGTACTTAAAGCGCTTCAGTTTTTACACAAACGTTCAATTGCACACTTAGACCTGAAGCCCCAAAATATTTTACTCACCGGCGAACGCATCGAAGGTGAGTTTTCCGTAACATTATTTATTTCAAAAAATTAAACAACATACATTTCTTTTTTAGATGGTTTGAAGTTATGCGATTTCGGTATTTCACGTGTTGTTGCTGAAGGCACAAATGTACGTGAGATTGTTGGCACACCAGATTATGTCGCCCCAGAAGTTTTACAATATGAACCACTTTCACTGCTGACCGACATTTGGTCAGTGGGCGTGTTAGCATATGTACTGTTATCGGGCTTTTCTCCATTTGGTGGTGAAACGAAACAGGAAACATTTCTAAACATATCACAATGTTCGCTGACATTTCCGGATAAACTATTTGGTGGCGTGTCCGGAGCAGCAATTGATTTCATACGTCGTTCATTGCGAATCAAGCCAAAGTAAGTTTTAAGCAACAACAAAATATAAGTAGTATTCACGATTTTGAGTGAGCTCAGTAACTTATCCCAACTGTAGCAAACTTGTCTTTAGAACCTAACCTAACCTATAACTTTATTATTTTGATCTTTTACGGTCTCGATTAATGAGTACTATAATATAATATAGTATAGTAGCATAAGTATAAAGCAAAGACAAGCCGCTTTGCATTTATGTTTTCATTCATGTTTACCGTACCCGGAACACGAAATTATAAAGATCACGAAAATAAAGTAATAGAATAAATTTGGTTTTTAGTGCGAGTCTGCGTTTGATTTCACTTAAACCGCTTATCACAAAAATACGTATACAAAAATCTCACCTAATATTCTTTTTTAGTGATCGCATGACAGCTGCAGGATGTCTCGAGCACATTTGGTTAAAGGACGAATGCTCCATCGATAGACAATTGTTCAGCAATATATCGAAAAAATCTACCACAGATGCAAGCGTCGACCTCGATATTGACTTAGAAGTTGATGAAGACGAAGAGGAGGAGGAGGAGGATGAAGATGAAGAAGACGTTGAAGATGATGTTGAAAACATTGATGACGAGGATGATATATCGACAGAGGAAAACAATGTTAGCATTAATGGTATTAACAATTTAGGGTCGTCCGATACGGAAATACTAGTAGACCAACGGCAGGTTATCAGCAACAGTAAAATGCACAAAAATAGTAACGGTAGCAATACAAATGGCATTAGCTATATACATGCAAATGGCACTAACGTTAAGCATTGTGAAACGAACTTAAATGGTTCAACGAAAACTTCGACTGCAATTCTAACCGTGCCAGCTACACGTGCTACAACCATACCACTGTGCAGCATGCAGCAAGCACAACATCAGCAACAACAGTTACATATCGCTCGTCGTCATTCTTCAGACTCAAATAAAGAGAATACTTTTCTGGCCACAAAGAAAATAATACCGGCGAACCTCATAAATGGTAGCAGTAAATCACCCACAACCACTACAACAGCAACAATAATTATTGAATCATCTGATAAACCTCCAGCATTGCCAACAACAACAAACTCAACTGTAGTCACTACAATTACACTGCCAAATGGAAGCAGCAAAACCGATAAAAATGGTCAAGCACAATGTTTATTCCCGGATGCACCAACAACACCTAAAGTCATACGAAAAGCGCCAACGGCGGATACGTCACCAACATCAGTTAAAGCTTTAGTAAAAAAGTTTCAACTTGAAGGTAACAACTGTACTGAAAAGCCAACACTTCATTTAAAAGAGGCGCAAGTTAATCATTACCATCAAGCACAACAACAACAGCAACAACCACAGCCGCACCAACATATAAATGGCATCAGCACTGCAAAATCAACAACAACAACAACTACGCCAACATTAAACGGTAAAGCGACTGGCAACACAAATTGTTTCAACACTCCCGATAAACCTATAACACATGAGCATAAAAAATCATATAGTCATTCAATTAGCAACAACAGCAATGGTCACAGCAGCACTAATCATATGAACA